TTTTGTTTTTGGTACTGTCCTTGGTTTAATTCCTGGGTTGATATTTCAAAATTGCTTAATGTAGGTATCTTGCTTGTGTTTAGAACCCTTGTGGAATGATTGCTTTTCAGAGGTGTCTTCTAGATATAGCTTGTGTTTGGCTATTTTATTTTCCTTATACCAGGAAGGAAAACTAATTAGATCAATCACAACTTGTTAGCCCAAAACACATAGTCAGCAATACCATAGCTTCAAGCACAGCTTAGAAAATGACAATTTGTAGTAGTTATTAATCTATCACTTTTAACTATGTGAGTTAAATTAAAACAGAGGACCAACATAACCTAAGTTTATAATGAATAAGCTCTTCAATATAGCATCTTTCCCCTTGGGGTGGGGAGTTAAAAGGAGTTGGGGAGGGAGGGACAGGCAGAAAGAACAGGTAAGATTAGGGGTGAGGCCAGAAGACACAGAAAGATCACAGAAACTCTAAGTTGTTAAAGGCAAGAGAAAATGGCAGAATGAAAGAACAAACATGTGACTAGAATCACCTTACAGCAACAGGGAGTCTAGATACCAAATTTACTTTCCTTTAAACCTAATGATAATAAAGAGAAGGAAAAAGAGAAGAAAAAAAACAGTAGGGGAGAAATCCAAATTCAGTGCAGAAAGGAACAAATGGGGAGATGAGCAATGTGGGACAGCAAGAGATTGAGTGAGAGAGAGGGAAAAAGATAAAAGAAAGAAAAGAAAGAAAAGTATAACTTTGAAGAGTAGAGAGAAAGTAAAAATTAAGAATTGAAAATAGGAGAAAAAATTTTTTTTTTCTTTTTAGCAAGTAGCACTAGAAATTATGGGCCTCCTTCAGGGTATGTCTCTGCTGTCACAATAGGCAACGTAGGAATCCGTGTGCATATATGAGTCAGTGAGTCTCAACAAGCCAGCAGCAGACCAAGTACAGTGGTCTGATGTGCCTTTATTGTACAGATTCTCTTTACTTTTCCACTGAGCTTGAGTTTTCATTGAGGAGCCTGAGAAGCCCTCTTTGTGTTACTAAGTTCTGCTCTATCTTGTGGCGCTCAGGACAAGGGTCTTTATAATCTCTTGTGCCTCTGTAGTGTGGGACCAGGTAGCAGAAAAGCCAGAAGGCCAGAGGCGCACACGGGGTGGTGGGGAGGAATTGGGCCTGGAAAGGCGCCCAAGCAGCTAAGCAGACCTCAGCATGGCATGGGCGGGGCCCAGGACGGCTGGCCGAGCAGCTTCAAGCTGCTCCTTTCACCTAGCAGGTCCAGCTTAGCGTCGGATGGGGTTTGGGCTGCAAGACACTCCCTGAACCTCACCGTGGCGCGGGCGGGGCCCGGGACAGCCGCTTGGCTTCAAGCTGCTCCCCAATAAAATTAATTTTAAAAAAACTTTCTATCAGGGAGCTGTCTGCTGAGGCTCTTCTTGAATTGTTCTATCATCTGAATCCTGGAACCTTGATTCAAAGATGATTGCTGGTGAAATTGTGCTGAGTTCCTGGCCCTCTGTTGTATTAGAATTTTCTCCCAATTCAGAATCTGTGGACAGAAGGTGCAAATCACTCAGATAAAGTGCATGATTTGTATCCTCTGATCCATTGTGTTGTGGAAGTGCATTGTATGAGGGTCTTTTGTTATTATTGTGAGCTTTCATGTGACTTTTGAAAATGTACTGAGTGCTGAATGTTTTCTCACAGCCATTGTTTGGGCAGAAGAAGGGTCTTTCACCAGTGTGTGAGGACATGCATTTTAAGGTGGTGGCTTCCTGCAAATGCTTTTCCACGGCCATCATGATCACAGCAAAATGGCTTTTCTCCTGTGTAGTTTCGAATGTGCTTCCTCAGATCACCAAATGTGGTGAAGTATTTGCTGCAGCCTTCAGATTCACAGTTAAACATCTCCCTGTGTGAAGCCTCTGATGTGCTTTCAGCCTGTAGAGCATATTGAATGCCTTTTCACAGGCCTGCACATCACACTCAAATGGCTGCTCTTTTGAGTGCACTTACTAGTGAATCCTGAGGCTGTAAGAGGTGAGGAAGGCCTTGCCACAGCCCGTCTGATTACAGACGAGAGTATACTCTTCTCGGTGAGTCTTCTGGTGGGTGCACAGGTTGCCTGCTGGGTTGTAGGTGCCGGGACAGCCCTCAAAGGTGCACTGGTACTGCTTTATTTGTTTACATTTTCTTTGTGGACATTCTGACTACAGAGAAAGAGTTGCACCTTCGATATTTCTTGGTGTGGGTGTGGAACCAGGGTTTATAGTCAAATGAATCTGATCAGGTGAGATAATGTGTTGCACATAACCCTAGGACATTGCTTCCTGATCTATTAGGTGAAAGCCCTCTTCACCCCCTACTAGAAAAGGCAAGTGTTCTTCACATTGTCCGTCATCATCTTCATCCTCCAAAGTGCCAGAGTCCTGCTCAGTAAGATCAGTGGTCCTGTCATAAACAGTTCCAGATGAGGAAGGCACCAGTCCGTTTGCATCCACAAACCTGAGCATCTTGTCAACTTCCTCTGCCTCAAAGAAGATGATGTTGTCGTCTGGACTGTGTTCCCCCATGATGCAATTGTGCTCGGCCCAATTGTGAGAAATGGAAAGGTAATGAGCTTTCTCTATGGCTCCTGGCAATGACGGCAACAGTAGCTTCTCCTCTCCCCAGTGGTGCCATGATTGCCTTAAAATTAATGTTTTAGCTGGTGCATGCTTTAGATTGCAAAATGCAAAAAAACAGAGCTTAGTACTTTAAAGTCTACTTTGTAAGAAGCATGTTGACAAATATTAAATGTTTAATTTGCATTTGAACATTATAAATATAAAAATATATAAACTATAAAATATATAAAAATATTTAAAAATATATAAATATAAAAAATATGCAAATATAAAACACAAAAATCCAACATTAATGCTGACTTTCCATGCCTAATTTGGATTTAGATATTGGATAATTTATATTTCATAGAAAGAAACTTTCAAAGTTTCATCAGTGCTTTCATTGTGTGTAATATATTATTCCTTACCAAAATGTTCACTGAAATCTAAAAATCTGGTGTTAAGTGTAATTACTTCTTTTCATGAATATTCTATAACATGCCACTTTGATTTAACCTTCAAAATTTTAGAGCATGAAATATACGTAAATAGGGTACCCCAAAATATGTTTTAACACAGGTTAATTTGTTTATAATTATGACAGAAACACCTTTAACTTTAAGATAGTAAAAGACAAACCAAAAAACCCTGTGTGCCTATAAAAGGTGTTTTAGGTCAAGTTATTTCTTAGTACAAATAATATCCCATGTCAATTTCTCAATCAAATTTACAAAAGCATTAAAAAATTGCACTTTATAAGTTAAGAAATGCATTTATGTGGTGGAAGAAGATATAAGAAAAATTATAGAAACAAAATCTCAAACTATTCCAACTCCTAAAACAAGAGATTCACAAATTAAGAAATTACCAATGTTGTTTGGAAAGTATGACTTATTCTTTCAAAATTCATTTTAATTGCTTGATATATAATTTAGTACTTTAAAAGACTTTAGCTAAATTGTTTAATATTTTTAGAATGTTACCTCTCTGGATAGAAATACTTCACATAATAGTTTTCAATTAAGAAGAAATCACTGGATAGTTTTAATCACAATTTATGATCAACTGATTAATGGATTAACAATTTATTCAGCAATTTAGAAAACCAACAAAAGGAATAATGTGGTAATTCTTCATTGTGCAATTCCATCCATTAGTAATACCAAGCCAAGAATCTGACAGCCTACTCGGTTGGGTTATGTTTCCAGGTGGGCTACTGAACAACAAAAAATAGTTATACTATGTCAAGCCTTTTCATTTCTTTTTTTTTTTGAAGAACAGCTCAATGATTTTTGGGGTTGGTTAGTACAATACAGATAACATAGGGGGAAAGAACAAAATAGTACTTTAATACCACTGCCAGTTATCTCATGGTAACAACTAAGGATATTAATTTTTATTTGCTTTTCTTTCTTTTTTTTCTAAGTTCTTTTATTGGTACATTTTAGGTATACAATTCATTTACATTTATCATTGGGTGTTTGTACTTGTACATGATGTATCTTGGTTCTTATTTTTTCCCCATTACCTGTGTGCCCTTCACCCCCTCCACCCTTCCCTATTTACACAGACATCATTCCCATTTTTTTTCTTTTCTCATAGTTTTTCCTTTCCCTCCTTGCCTTTCCTCTTCCCCTCCCTTTACCCCTTCATCTTTGGACCTTTTTTCCTATTTCAAATTATCAATTATTCATTTTAATTATTTTAACCCTTTTTAAACTATCAGTTTCTCACACTAGTGAAACTATTTGGTATTTACACGTGTGTCCTATTTATTTCACTTAAGAGTATGGCCTCTATATTTGGCGTCCATTTAGCTATAAATGACTCTAGTTTTTCATTCTTTATGGCTGAGTAGTATTACATTTTATAAAAAAACCACACCTTCTTTATCCAGTTTCCAATTGATGGGCACTTGGGCTGCTTCCAAGCTTTAGCCATTACAAACTGTGCAGCTATGAACATGGGTGCACATATATCACTGCGGTATGATTCTTTTAATTCTTTGGGGAAGATAACCAGCAGGGGAATAGCTGGGTCAAATGGACCTGTAGTCCTAGTTCTTTGAGGTAACTCCATACTGATTTCCATAGTGGTTGCACCAATCTACATTCCCACCAACAATGGAGAAGGGTTCCTTTCTCTCCACACCCCCACCAGCATTTGTTATTGGTTGATTTCTTGATTGGAGCCATTCGTTCTGGGGTGAGGTGGAATCTCAGTCTTGTTTTCATCAGCATCTCTTGAATGACCAGTGATGTTGAACATTTTTTCATGTATTTATTTGCTGTTTTTACTTCTTTATCTGAGAAATGTCTGTTCATTTCAGATGTCCATTTTTGAACTGGGTCTTTGAATTTGAAGGGTCTGATTTTTCTCAGTTCCTTATATATTCACAATAGTTGACCTTTGAGGTACAGCTGCTAAATATGTCTTTCCACATTGTAGGTTGTCTCTTAGCTCTGTTGGTAGTTTCTCTTGCAGTGCAGAAGTTTTACTATGATGAGATACCAGTTGTTGATTCTTTCTGCTAGCTCCTATGCTACTGAAGATTTGTTCATAAAATCTTTTCCTATGCCAATGTCATCAAGAGTTCTACCTAACTTATCTTCCAGCAAGTTTAGTGTTTCAGACTTAGTATTTAGATCTTTAATCTACTTCGATCTTAGTTTAGTGTGGGGTGATAGGTATGGGTCTAAATTTAATTTTGGCAGGTTGAAATCCAGATTTTCCAACACCATTTATTAAATAGGCTATCTTTCCTCCAATGATGGTGGTTGGCTCCTTTGTCAAAGATGAGGTGGCTGAGTATGTCTGGAGTAGTTTCTGCATCTTCTAATCTATTCCACTGATCTTCAGGTCTGTTTCTTTGCCAGTACCATGCTGTTTTAATCACAGTATCTTTGTAGTATAGTTTCAAGTCGGGGATTGTGATACCCACAACCATGTCTCTGTTGCCTAGAATTGCTTTTGCTATTCTAGGTTTCTTCAGCTTCTAAATGAATTTTTGGATTGTTTTCTCTAGTTCTGTGAAGTATATTGTTGGAATTTCAATCAGCATTGCATTAAATCTCTATAATAGTTTTGGAAGCATGGCCATTTTCACTATATTGGTTCTTCCTACCCAGGAACAAAGGATGTCTTTCCATTTTCTTATATCCTCTTTGATCTCCTTTTTCAGGGCGCTGTAGTTTTCAGTGTAGATGTCTTTTGCTTCTTTTGTTAGGTTGATTCCTAGATATTTCATTTTTTTAAGGCTATTGTAAAAGGATTTCACAAATTTCTCTCTCAGTGAGTCTGCTATTTGCATATAAGAAGGCTATTGTTTTTTGAGTGTTGACCTTGTATCCAGCCTTGTATTCTGACTTATATTATAGTAAAGAATTCCTAGTTGATGTTCAGCCTGACTCAGTCACAAAAAAGAGATGCGTAATTATATTATAATCATTAAAGCAAATAAAATATTGACTTACAGTCAATGCCACTGAATGGAACAACTTTACCTTTACTAAAATTAAAACAGTATTCAATAGCAAAAGCATAAAATTAACTAGCTATCTAGAGATTCAGAACCCTTAATATTTATACTAGTAAAGTTAGAAGGTGTGGAGAACTAGAAAAAAGTGAGGTAGTATGTTCTATTGAGTATAAAAGGAAATTAATAGTGTTAGAGAACAGTTGCAGGACAACATGAACAAACAAAAAAGAAGAAAAAGGATAAGTAGAAAAATACAGGAAATGAAAGATAAGAAAGAACAGAAAAGCAAATTTGAAAGGGGAAAAGAGAAAAGGAGAGAAAAGAAGCTAAAAGTGCAAGAAAGGAGAGAAAACACCCCAACTCCCTCAAAAACAAACGAAAGAAAAAGTAAAACAAACAAACAAAAAAAACCCAAAACCAAAAAAAGATTGAGTCAACAAAACATTCCTGTGTTTTTGAAGGTATGTTTCCTTTCCAAGATCTCCAGTCTTGGGATCCAACCAGTCATGATTTTCTCCACCTAGCTTCAGGGCCTGTTGGTATTTGAGGTGCACCAAAGGCCTCTCTTGTCTTTTCATTCCAGACTGTTGTTACTGACCAAGCCAAGTTCTGTCCTTGATCCTGCTGATAGATGGGAATTACAATCAGCCTTTTGATCTCTGCTGGATATTGACCACAGGGGCAGGGTTCAGGTAGACTGCTGGACTTAGTGGTGACAGTTGTGGTCTGGTTGCTCCCTTTTCTCTCCAGGCATTGTCCTTATCTAGGATCAGGTTGTTTGAATAGTCCTCATCTCTATTGCCCCATGACAAGAGGGAACAAAGTGCAGAGCAAGCTTGAGGTTGCTGGATGGTCTCATCTGTGTGTGTGTGTGTGTGTGTGTGTGTGTGTGTCCCCTGCATGGACCTGCTTGTCCATGTTGTTGGAGAGGCCCTGTAGGTCTGGGGTGGGATGCCATTTGTCCTGTGTGGGCCTGCTTGCTCATACCCTTGTTTATATTGAGGGTATAAAGGTTTTCAAGCCCTAACAGAAAATAATTGTCAGCCCAGACTTCTATACCCTGGAGAAGTATCTTTACAACTTGATAGAGAAATACTTTCCATGATAAAGAAATCTAATAAATATTCATGATTACTAAGCCAGCGTTGCAGAAGATATTCAAGGGAATATTATAGAGAATATTATAGAGAACAGTAGCACCAAAGAGCCCAAAGAAACGTATACATCTAACAAAAAAAGAAAAAGTATACATCTTATTGAGAGACAGTTAAATGAAAGGAAAAAAAAGAGAATCATTGCTGGCAAAATCCTGCAATGAGAGGACTGAGTAAATACTTTACAATAATAACTCTCAATGTTAATGATCTTATCTCCTAATCAAAAGACACAGACTGGCAGATTGGATAGAAAAACAAAATCCAATCATATTTTGCCTGGAATAGACACACCTCATACCCAGAGAAGCACATAGACTGAAAGTGAAAAAATTGAAAATGATTCTCCATGCAAATGGAGCCCCAAAGCAACA